ACAGACTGCAATGCACAGAAAGCACAAACATGGGCGCATGCTGGTGTCCCAGTTCTTCTTTCTGCATGGATTCGTACTCCCAGTTTGCTTTACCAAGTGAAAAAGTAACACTAAAGGGAATCAGAAAGTCGGACTCATCGCAATCAGCTGATTGGTATGTCATCTTTGAGTGATGATGCTATAAAACTGCCTGAGCCCACAAAGAGTCAGAGTGAAGCCCGTCCTCTTCAGTAGCATTGTATGCGCACGCACGCACGTCTCTACATGTCAGGCTCTCCTGGCCAAGCCCTTACCAGTGCCTTCTACACCTCACGCAGTATAAAACATTCAGGTTTTATACTGCGTGACTATGCTGCAGTATGTAGACCAGGTGACAACACACAGCACGAGCATGTTCAACAGCTAGAGAATAAGAGTGATTGTGTGAGCGCATTTAACAGAAATCTGTGCATTTTCCTTTTATTCATGACCTGTTGATGAACAGATATTATACTCAAACAAATCAAATCCCTGCTAACAAAACCAGTAATGAGATTTGATTACGACTTATGAGGAGAGAGTAAGGGATTTTCCTGTGAGGAACATCTGCTGTGGGTGCAACAACTTCCTCTATATATAATCACAGTTTGTACAGTACAGTTTATTATCCACAGTAAAAGTCCCCAAAATAAATCTGTGATTCTTTCGGTTCAATTCAAGTTTGCCCACTGCTTACAGAATATAGAGATCGCCGCGGTGGCTGATCTAGTCCACCTACTCAGGCTGCTCTGCAGTGTCACGGGACTGCAGGTGTCTGCATCATTTCACAGGTAGCCTGTATATGCCAGTACATCAGCTGCATGTACAGACAACGCATGCTGCAACAGTGACTTGTTAGCAAACACAGCGGTACCACAGCCCGCTATAGCTCAACCTGTTCTCCTGTCCTCATTCTGTCAGAAAACTTTAAAAGTAAAAGAAGGATGCAGACACACTCTGAAAAACTGAAAACGCAGTGGATGCAGTGGCCATTTTAACCCAGTTTCTCACTCTGATCATGAGTAGTGTGAGAAACCAAATAGCTTCTGAGTAATTCACTTTTAGAAACCCTCCCCCAAAACATGTGACCATGAAAACAGTTGAGATAAGATATGCTAGGCAGAGGTGCTGGCCGATCCTCTGCAAGCTACACTGCCGCTTTAGCCGAGTGCCAAGAGAAAATAGCCTCACACGTCTCAAGTCACCAGTTCAAAATAAGATGATTATGAGTAAGTAGCTAACCACAAGTAATCTTACATGACATCAATGTAAAAATATACCAGTATATTTGTATTTGCTTTCTACCCCTTCGTAACCTTGAAAAACAACTTCCTGGCTGTGGTGTCGCTGCAGAAAACAGCTTGATAAGCGCAGCGTTTAGAAACAACAAAAGTTCCTGTAATGTGGTTCACTTTAATGATCCCAATCAGCCACAGCTCTGCATTTATTTTACATACATTTAAAATAAGTAGGCCAATGGCTTTGTACAGCTCTATCGGTTTACAAACTGATATCTGTGGGAAGAACTAACACACCGAGAGACATTTAATCAGTCAAAGCCGAATATGAAAGCTAGCTCTCCCGCAGTCCGTGAGAAATAACAGCTCAGCGATATAGAAGCAAATCTTTTACATCCAACTGGATGTTTAGACAATTAAAACTGAAGGCTGATCTGGAGATGTGGCTGGCTTTAGGTCCCCTCCCCCATCTTTGAACCACTGTCAGATCTGCAGCGGGGTTTGGAGACAACAAACCATTAGTGGGGGCCATATGGCTCTTTTCTTTCAAAGGATGGCAGAGGGCCATTCTGTGGACTGGCTGAACGTTTACATGCATTTTAAGGAGGTCTGTATAATTTGGGGGGGTTTGGCCGTTTGCAAAAAATTTAAGTTGGTGGGAATTTGGGTAAAGTGGGGGAAGAGTCCGAGTAATACTGCATCTCTGCTTTGGATTTATGTGAGAATAAAGAGCACGGTGTGTTCACATCTGAGTCACAGTGGCATTCATCCCATTTCTGGAAACAGCCAACATTTCTATGAATAGCTATAAAACAGGAAGCATTTTTAATAAATGCAAATCGAATCTTTGAGCTTTCTCTCGGGGATCGGGGGGTTCATTTAATTTTGAACGCGACAGATGGGGACACCGACGATATCCTGATGTTTAACTGGCATCGCTGCGCGGTCAGCAGGTCCCATATAATCAGATCTGCTGTACACACCCACAAAAGCTTCCCATTACAGCTGGAGAGTGTGGTTAACACCTTGTTTCAGCAAAATATTACACATGCAGTGACTGTGCACAGAATAAAATGATGAGGTGATGTTTATCGGCTGAGCGGCACAATAAACAACATTAAATCTAATGAAGTCGTGCACATTGTTGTAATCTTACTCTGAAAACTGGTTACAGGCTGTCACTAAAGCATTTTTGTGGCCTCGTAAAGGACCTAACCAGATGAAATTTACAGGGTTAAAAAACTGCACTGTAATCAATTTTGAGCTTCAATATTATAGTTTATATTTTCAGCTAACCAGGTGATGCAGACTAACACAAACAAGCACTAGTCCCCTGCATGTTGGACCTGTTTTAATAATTCACTGGAGATAATGTCACAGGTCCATGTGGGATCAGCCAATACGAGATAAAGAAAGGGCTCCATTTCTCTTTTTAAATCCACATGTTCATCCAAAGCTCATCTTCCAGTCATGATTCCTTCTATCCCCAAATAATTTTCAAATATAATGATCCAAGACCCCGCAGTTCCCACACAGTCTGTACTTCAGACAGATATTTATCTAAATAATAAAACTAATAATAAATATAAACTCTATTCTTAAAGGGTCCAAGAGCTGTTCTGACACTTTCTTTTTGCATGCAGAAGCTTCATACTTCTATACTAATGATACTATACAAGCGAGTAAAAGCTACTCACACATGTCATTGGGACCGTTTCCAAATGTGTCATTTAACACGTACAGCAACATTATTAATATTTCTATACTAAACCTTTTAATTAACAAAATTGTGACACACCTGCTCATGCAATGAAAACACTGAAAGCCTCCTGTCAACAAGTTTTTCCCCCACCCACTTCTATAACGCCTGGGTCACAAGGTAACAACTTGAAGCTGTGCACCCCTACACCAGCTGACAGCTGACAGCTATAATTTTCCACTTTCTGGTCTGTCCCCTTATTTCAACCCATTCCTGAGCATGTGATTACCAGCGTGTCAAAAGGAAGTGTGAATGCAAAATTGCAGCAAAGGACTTTCTAGTTAAACCACAATTCAGTAAATGAGAAATGGAAAGACAGAAACAAGGAGGGAGTAAATACTGCGCTGTATGATTACTTTTTCCCACCACTGAGACGGTAGCAGTCGTCACAGAGGCAGTGATCTGAAAGGATTCATTAAGGTTCTGCACACATTTGGACATGACTATACTTAAACAATACTGGGAAACCTCTTTATAAATGTTACCCAGATAACACCACCAGGCATTTCCTTTAAACTGAGTTAACAGTAGTTCCCCAAAGCAGATGCAAATGAGAGGTGGGAAAGTTATGCAGGGGTTGTGATTAGTGATATTACTAAGCCAGACAGTCAGTTAACTGTTTGAATCTTGGCTCGCTGCAATGCAGTCCTGAGATAAAGGCAATATTTAAGCTTGATATGAAAATAAAAGTACCACAGAATACTTTAATACTACAGCAAAAGTATGAGGTCATCTCCCATTTCTTTATATTTTGTCTCCAAGGAGCTAGACTTTCAATTTCTAAAGAAAGAAATAAAAGTTTTCTGGAGCTGCCTGCAGCCTTCATACCAGACCATCTTCTTTTTGTTTGTTGTGTCACTGACCTATGAATCACTAAAGCATAAAAAAGGTACATAACTCAAAAGATGAATCAGTATCATCCCCACACAGCAAACCTGGCAAAGAAGCCGTTTGTGTCTTTAGGCACTTGTTGATAGCAGCCTGCTGCAAAAACATGTCATTTGGTCCCATTTCTTCAAGCATGAAGTAGTATTTTTGGACCAACAAGGTGATTCACAAAAACCACTATCACCACCCCAGAGCCCGAACCGGAACATTACTGAAACACCGCGGGACAAAAACGGAATAAAAAGCGATCAGCATCCAAGGACGAACTCTGAACAAACCTGGAGAACTATTCCTGAAACTACTTTAAAGAAATCATACCAAACACTGATTTTCAGGCTCATTAGAAAATTGGGCCATCTGTGGTTTGCCCTGTATAACCGACTTAGATTTACAGTTGCACTTTTCCATAAATCGCTGCAACTTTTCCTTCGTTTTCCTACCAAAAGACAAGAAACGAGGGTCGACTCGAGCTTTAGCACAGCTCTGTGTACGAGTAGACGTCACCTTTGATTGTGCAACAATAATGAATTAGGGCTACAATCTCTCATGTCTTCATGTGCCACATGCACGACAGTTTGCAACAACAGCTGACACTTCCTGGATAATTCTGGCTGGATTTATGTCACCCAACACAAAACAAGTGGGATCCTTTCATTGTGAGAAGCCCGGTGACAGAAACCTAACCGGGCCCGCGGACACTGCACTGCAACGAGTCTGCCTCGATTCTCGGACGTTCACACAACGGATGCAGCTCCGCTACTGGGTGTCACTGACATGCTTTGACAAACAGACATGCTGCTATCACCACAACCGGTCCAAAAACTGGGAATACTGCCTGATAGCGTGTCTTAAAATGGGGCTTTGAAGGGGGACGGTGAAAGGGTTAACGCATTATGAGCCGCCTCACATTAACTTCCTATAACAGCTCCGTCAATGATGTGCCTGGTAACCCTAAAAATAAAACACATAGCAACAGCAACTAAAGTAAAAACACTGCAACACATTTAGGACTTTACTGTAAAAACGTTCTCATGAAACAAAATAAAAGAAGGAGCTCGTAAAAAGCTACGAGCTCACGCAAACTGACTTTAACGTACCTTTGCCGTCTGTTTTTCTCATCGTCGCGGTGTAATCCTCAAAAGCATTCCCCGCGATTCAACCAACTGCTGACAAATAATAATAATAAAACAAAATAATAATCTACTCTTCTTCCCCCTATCCTTTCTCCTCTGGTGAAAATAAGGCTGATTTACAGCACGCAGGCTAAGAACGGTGAAGTCCCAAACAGACAAAGCTCAATCAGTTTGAAGGTTTCAATCCGAGGAGAAAAGAACCTGAAATGAAAGAGAGGGAAACGCGAAGACCACTTAAACGCGCTCATTAAACAGCAAAGAATCGTTTGGGGGGATAAAAATTCCTCCTTCCTCGCAGGCGGTGTGATTTCAGACCGGCTAACCAGCTAGCCTGTCGCTACTTCCTTTCTCTGTGCCTAAATAACAGCAGCGGCAGGCTGAGCTGAAAAAGTTGAGGGAAAAGGCACACACACCAGATTCTATACAATAAAGACACCCTGTTGCTCACAGGGGTTTGTAGGAGAGCAGCGCCCCCTGCTGGGTTAGCGGTGGTACTACAGGTGTCACACAAAGGCTTTGTGTTTCACCCGCGTTTTCTTGTTGTTTGTTTGTTTTTTCCGCCTCAGTGGGAGGAGGCACAATTGACTAGTTCACGTAAGCTACATAAATAGCAGCTAAATAGCAGCTAAAATAGCTAATCTCCACTTTGTTTTGTATTATTTGTATTCTGACACCACTAGTTTTAGTGGAGCGTTCCGTTGTCCTAGCAACAGCGTCTGATTTTTTTTACCCAATAAATATACTCGGGATTCTTTGGACGTCATCTCTGTACAGTCCGTATGTATATGCTGCTGGGTGATCTTTCGTTTACTATTATTCCAAAACCTTTACACCTGCCCTCACATACAGTAGCGGGCTTTGATAGGGGCGACACGGTCGTGGTGGGGGGCGGCATCACGGCTTCTCTGACGTTCATCACTAACCGTAAATTTCAGACTCACCACTGTGAGTTATACTCTCAGGTAGGACGGCCTGCTTTGGTAAGTCGGAGGAACTCTCATTTATACAGTTTTAAATATAAGGCGATTCTTGGGTTGCTGCCTTCTTATCTATGTTCCCTGCTTGTAATGAAACATGCTGGTCGGTATTCTCTTCGTCCGCATGGTTACTTGTTGCTTTTTGGTAAAAGAGCTTTTGTCCATTTAGCTTGGAACAAACTGCAGAAGGAAAATGACTGAATTTATTTCATTAAGTGCTTTTAAATCTAAACTACGAATCCTTGAGGCCAAGTCCATAACATGCAACTGTTTCAATTAGATTGATTGTCATTTTAACTGATTTTTCTTTTTAATTAATTAATTTATTTTTATTTGAATTTTATT